ACATTTTTAAAATGAATAATAATAGAAAATTAAAATGTCAAAGATGTTTACACAACCTTGTTTATGGCTGGAACATTTCGTTATATCAAATATATGTTATGTTTTAAGGCTATTAAACAAAACCATGAAATTTCTATTACCTTCTAGTCTGTTCTACGTCAAAAGGAATTAAACTCTCTCCAAATTCTGGAAAAGAAATTTTTGCAAAAGTTTATTTTTTCTCAATTAAAAACGTTATGTATCACAAAATAATGGTTTCGCTCAGGTAATGTACTTACCTTTTAAAGAAAAATCGGCTGTTTTGTAGTAGACTTCAATACAAGCGCGAATCGAAGTTATTTTGGCCAAAAACTAAAAAGACGCGAAGCCATCCAGTGTACAAATTTACAAATAAATTAAATAGATCCTTCAGGCCAAAACAAAGCCTAGAGTTACCGGAAGCGATCCCCATAGATGGAAACTGTGTTTAGGATGGGAGTGGAAGGTGAATCCTGAGGAAAAACGAGCACAAGGGTATGACGCGCAGTGCAAAAATCGCTTTTCATTAAGACTAAATTATAGTTTTAAATACAGTGAACATTTTGCCGTTTTGGGCCAAACTATAAAGCAAATATGGCTTTGGCTGAAAAGGAGTCTTGGCGCCCTCCCTAGTAATTTGGTTAGGACGTATCAAAATTGAATCTTGCCATTTGTCGAGAATGAAGCAAATTCCATTAATTTAATCTCAACAGCTCAGAGCAGCTGCCCGGATGTCAAAGTTACCTAAAGCCATACCTATTTTTAGTGGCTAAGATGTGAAGATTGTTTGTTTACCCGATTTCAAAGAATCACAGTATCTTTTACACAATAAGAGTCAAAAAATTGCTACGTGCGAAGTGACTTTGTCCTCTTGATGTAATGTACACATCACTTGAAAAAAAAAACACTGACTAGAACCCGGTAGTGAACTGTACGTGACCTGAATATGAATAGATAAAGAAGTTAATATGTTGTATTATGTGAAATTTATATCTTCTGTTACTTAAAAAGCTTAACCTCAAAAGGTTTCTTACAAAACGGCACCGTAAAAAAGAAAAAAATCCTGTCTCGAACATTTACGAAGGAAGCAGTTTTACTGGGACTAAGGAAAAATTGATAACCTAACCAAAGTGTTGTAGAAACAACCTTGTTGATAAATACCCTGAAGGTCCGCGATCGAAGACTCTGTAAGGCAAATATCAGGCAAGGTAGATTGGCTTAATGAAACGCTTCCAGTATTACAGATATATCAATGGAAAATTTGGTCCATTTACAGACTTCATTTTTTGTAGTTTTTATTTGTGTGCACATTTCACAGACATTTTATGCGCTTTCAATTTCTACAGAAATGCAGACATGCAGATTTTATGTTTAGGGTTTTACAGAGGTTTCTTCTTGCGTGATTTCTACAGCGGAGAAAGTAAAGAGATTTTAAAGACATTTGTCAAGTTGTTTGTCGTGTAAAATCTGTGTAAATGTTACATCATATTTACAGAGATTTCAGCAAAATTATACACACATTTTAGGCGATCTTTTCGGACAAAATGTGTTAAAATTTAAATAATATTTGTAAAGTTACAAAATCTCTGTGAATATGCGTAATTACAGAGTTCGTAATTTTCAAAGGAAATATAGACATTTTACAAAGCTTTCATGACACCAACTTTTGTAAGTCGGTGGACGGTTAAAGTTTTCCAGTTTATATATACGCAGCGCCTTCAGTTTTATGAAAAACCATTCACATATCTAGTTTACATGGGTAGACAAAACATAAAGTTGTAAGGCAATAAAAACTAAAGAGGACGGGAGAATTTTTTTCCTAACGCATAATACATATTTTTTCAGTTTTTAAGGACATTTCCGCGCAAAATATACAAATAGCTTGGTATAAAATTAACAAATTCAATTCAGTTTTAGAATCAGACAGTACGTGGATAGTTGACAGGTCAAAGGACAAGACCTTTGTTTCCTCTAGCTATGAAAAAAAAAAACATATCCTGTACTAACTGCCATGTATCTTAATGGACTAAGGAAGTTATGGGGCCAGATCTCATACTGAGTTAACAGTTTTTTCGCGGAGGTACAATATTACCACTGGTAGAACTCTCTGGTTTTGAGAAACTTCTGAAAAAGCACTTGCTAGCGAGTCAAGGAGTCAATCTGTAATTATCGTCCTCATTTTGTTTTTAAAATTCATTTTCTTTCCCTGGTGTTTGAAACTGTCTTATTGAAAAAACAATTTGACAAACCCAAAATCAATTTGGAGGTCTCAAGGAGACGTTGCAAGGAATTCTTTCAACTTCATAGTCTTCTAAGACCTTAGATAGTTTAAAAACATTTATAGAAGGCCGTCTATTCATATTTAAACTAGATACTATAGTTTTATAAAAACTATTATTGTGCTAGCGTATTTTTAAATACCTTCTTTCACCTGCGGCTTGCGATTAAAGCGTTTCCTCGGGAAAATATTTCATATAGATGCATGGCTACATGTTCTGAATCACGGAAATTGATGTCAGAATAACAAAACTTATGACGAAAACAGGACTATGCAAGAAAAACTTCCGTTGACATTCGCGGAGTGTAAAACGAAACTCGAAACAGGAGAAGACAGATTTTTCATTTATCCAGTTCATTATCAAAATAAAATTGTAAGGGAGATGTGAGATTGAAAAGATATGTGAAATTGACGTTGAACTGTTTTCTCGGGAAAACGTTTATTTGCCATGGTGATAAACAGTACAAAACAAAATAAAAGATACTAGGAACAACTTATCGGGGATTGAAAAGAAAAAATGGGAAGTTCATAATGTCCTTTTTCTCTCACGAAAATTTTCGTTATTTAATTAAGTGCTTTAGTCAAAAAATTGTTGTTCCGTTCGAAAAAATCTGTCTATTCCGGGCAAAGGAAATTTCTTGACAAAAATGTTTTATTCTATTATTTCAAGATAGAATTTCTTTAATTTTATTCCATCATTTCTTCGAAACTAATATGAATTTTATTCTTGGTTCTTGATCTCAGTAGTAACGTTTGTCATCCCGTAAATATATACATGAGTAACTAACAAACATTTTCTCTTTTAAGACCCGGTATTAAATTGACAAAGTACTTGCCTACAAAAAGTGCAGTGTTGTGTCTCCGTTCTGAAGCCCATCTATTTTCTATGAAAATTTAGAGACTTTTCCTTGGCAACCCCTAGTCTAACTGGCAATAAAGTATTTCTTGAAAACGATGGTGTTCGTCAACAAAATCTAGGGCTTCCTTGTATAATAATTCTCATACTTTACTATCTGATTTTATTTCACGTTCCTTGTAGCAACTAAAAGGAATTTCAGTTTGGTCTAAAGACATAGGCATAAATACAGTTTGGTTTGAGACAAAGGCGTAAATTCAGACACTATCAGCCGCTCTGTGACATGCATAACATGGTGATTTGTCGAAATAACTATAAATACACTAATCTGCATGGATGAGTTAGTTTCCTTATAACTATATGGTCGCCGGCAAGATGAAAGATCTAATGTATCCGATCGTATATTGTAATGTTGCCGCGCCGTTTAATTGATTTTGATTCCAAGAGTCATTGAATGTTAAAACTGCTTTTCACGCACACTTCCATAATTTAGATTCAGAGACGACACTTTCATCAAACGCCATGAATAAACTTCAAATCCACAAATCCTTTTTATTGTCTTGTTGAAAAGTGTAGGAAAACCAATGACCTCAAACTTACTTAGATACCTGCTTTCAGTAAAATGTAAAAGAAAGAACTCATGGCTTTCAAGAGAGAGATTTCGGAGATTTCGAGAGGGTTGCCTTGGGTTTAAATATCCCTTCTTAGGTTTCCAAAGCGAGTTTTGCCAACGGAATTTACTCCAGTATAGCGGAGAGGAAGCACAGTCTTTAAAAACAAACGCTACCTTGGAAATGGTAAAGCCTAAAGGAGCAAGGATGGCACAATGGTGAGAGCACTCGTCTTCCACCAATGTGGCCCGGGTTCAAATCCCGGCGTCGAAGCCATATGTGGGTTGAGTTCGTTGTTGGTTCTGTCCTTTGCTCCGAGAGGTTTTTCTCCGCGTACTCCGGTTTTCCCCTCTCCTCAAAAACCAACACTTCCAAATTCTAATTCGACCAGGAATCAAGTAGACTAAGAACCACTTAGTGGATGTGCTACTTCTAAATCTTGTATCAATTATTTAGTACCCGGGACAACTTTTCTTCATATCACATAGACTGGGCGTTAGCTACCCTAAAAGCTGGCAGTATCCCCATTCTTTGGTTCTACCGCCAAAACAAAAACCACTTGCACTCACAAAAAATAGCTCCTGCTTTCCATCAGCAGCCCAGTAAAATCTTTTTGACGTGGTAAGCAGGATAACCAGAGTAGCAGGCAGTTAAGTCAGTTAAGGCTTACAACTGTGGAGTAAGAGAGAATGGGGTGGGGTGTATGTTGTTAGTTTACAACTGGAAAATGATATCTGAACGTCAATGAGAGATATTTGTCAAGACTGTCTATTTACCATAGGAAAGATGGTTTTTATTGTTCTCTTTAAAAAATCATACACACTTGAACGTGAATGCTGGTGAAGACTGCCAGCGATCTCTCTTTTGCTCGGTAATCTGTGGGTGAGTGAGAGCGATTGAGATATGATATGTAAGTATTCGAGCGTGAAGCCGCAAGCAGCGAGTTGCGAGGGCGCCAGTACTGGTGCCCTCACAACTCGCCTGCTGGCGGCTTCGCTGCTCAAATTTTCACGTATCACACTCGCTTACAGATTTTTGAGCAAAGAGAGACTACTCGCAGTCTAGAATTAGTTAAACCTTTTCTGTATGTGCTTAAAGACAACTGGTTTTCCTTTTTTAGATTTTTCCCCATTTCAGACTCCGTGTGAACCAAATTGTATTTCGTAAGATAGGGTCCTATTTAAAAAAGCTTGAGAATTCAAAACGGAGATGCTTTTAAAAAATTCATGTCAATGCTTTACATGTTTTTAAAAGTTACTTGACGCAAAATTTGACTTTCTGCAGTGGAGGGTATTTTAAGAAGACTGATTCCTCTAGATTGTTCCATGTTGTTATGGCGACGGTCTGCGCTAGGCCTTACGCTATACCGGTATGTTGTGACTATCAAGGGAACTGTATCGCGCCTGCGCAATCGTAGAATACGGAATAGAGATGCACGGAATTGGCTGTTCATGATGACGTAAATAACTGGATTGTAAACCACGGAGGCTTTGGCCAATAACTCAGGAATTTCAGCTTCCCACAATTCTATCACCTGTTTTCCGGTAAACGTCGCTGCGAGGCTCACAAAGCTATATGGTGCCCAACTCAACATGACCGCAGCGACGGACGTGGCTGTAATCCGCACTAGTTTAATCCTGGAGCTGCGCTGTCTTAGCTGTACTTCAAGGTTTCCTGGCACGATATTTCTGCGAACTAAGCTGAAGGAAAATTGGAAAAAAATCTTATTGTGTAAAAATGAAAAACACGAGTGTTTATTTCGTACTCGTCGTTGGCACGCAACAACAACTGGAATATTCAAATTAACCAGATCAATCATCAGCAAACAAAATAGCCCACCCAGCAAAGGAATGAATAAGGAATTGCATGTACGAGGGGATTGTAACAAGTCAATAAAAGGTGCACAAGATTAGCGGCCCGCCCAGGGAAGGAGGACACGCGTGCCTTACTTTAAAGCGCCTACTTAGCGGACTCCCACCAGAATCCAGGAGCCTATTAATAGAAAGCTTTAGATTTGAGGACGAGTAGGAGATTTAACTTAACGTTTTTCGATCGGGTATTGTTGAAAAATGTCCGGCCCGGAGAGCTTCATTGTAAATAAGTGCGGTTATATTTATTGGAGAACGTTTAGTCCTTTCCCGATAACAAAATGATAAAACTTCTTACATTTGATTACTTTTTTCCCGCCACTACGACATTCTCGAGAAAACAAGTAGTAGATTATGACGACGGCTATCTCGTTTTCCCGCCAAAATGACGCTGGTTCACACGCATGCACAACTTAGTATTGAGAAAATCTCGTAGTCGTAGTCGTCATCGCCCTCGAATCTAAAGCTGTCAGTTAATATTGATAGGCTCCTGCAAAGCAGCACATTCTGATTCAAAGCACGTAACTGTGTTCAAAGTAAACAGAAGAAACGATATAACTGAACGGCTACTTACCTGTAAATTTTGTAATAGCAGATCACTATGGCTACAATAGGAATAAAGAAACCGAAAAAAACAAGTAGAAGATTGTAAGCTGTATCCGCGGCAGATCTCCCTACCCAGTCTGGACAGCAACTGAGTCTAGAAGCAGAAACAACATAACGATTCCACCCCAGTAGAGGCGGCAGCATGCATAGACCACCGTACATCCACGACGCACCAATTAAGTAGACATTTTGACGCGCTGAAAATCTGGAATTCCTGTTCACTTGCTTAAGTCCGATGTAAGATACCACGCTCATTTCGGTCAGCGTGAAAATGCACGCTATGCCGACAGTACCATTGACAAATGCTCCCCAAATGCAGTGCGAGCTTTCGGGCAGGTTCCCACGGATATTAGCTTGGATTACCAAAGGGTAGCCAAAAATTATGATAAATATGTCAGCTAGAGCAAGGTTGATCATCAGAGGGGTCAGGTTGCGCCTACGGTGTTCAGGCCGTATAAGGACGAAAAGGGTCAGAACGTTGCCAAGGAAACCGATGGTCAGAATGAAGAACATTACAAGGCCATATGCTAAGAAGCCGCTCTTGTTCCCAGAAAATATGTCCTCGGATTGCTTCATGTTCGATGCAAACGAAATGTTCTCCCCCTCTGAAACCACACCAAATTACATCAATTAAAAAAGACTGAAATCCCGTCCGTCTTGATGTAAATACTATTTAATTTGTTTGACTCATGATGAGCGTTCATGTACCCGTTTTTCTCATCTTTTTTACTGCACGGTAATAAGTACGACTTTATTAGAAGTGCGTCCACGAGGTGACTCTTCGCCTACTAATACTAGCAACAATGTGCCCTAACTACATTCTATCATTTCACAAAATTAGTTTTTGAATTTAAAAGGATATGTACAAAAAATTGATAACATGTACAGCATACTAAAAAGAAAGCAGCTTTTAAATGTTTATAAAAAGGAGAATTATCAAGATACAATATTGGAAAAAAAGATTCAGTAAAAATTTGAACATTGGTTAAGGAAGCAGAGGAAAAATAAAAAATCAGTTATACGTTTTCTGCTTTAGATAACGTAAGATTTTTCGTTAACCTAACGAATTTTTCATAGTCAGTTTCTTGCCTTCACTTATCAGGTAAGGTATTAAATAATCTCGCTGCCGGAACTTGAAAAGTGACGCTTTCAGTTGGAATCGTAGACTTTCTAAACGTCCTTTATTTTTTTTCCTGGTTGGTTATGACTTCATCGCTCGCTCGGTTGTTGCGCGACCTCATGCATCGAAGTTCGCTTCGCTCACTTATACTATAAACTTATGAGAGGTTGACTTGTAGCAAGTCTATTGGATTCGCAAACTTTGGTGCTTCAAGAGAGATTAAATTATAGGCAATGACAGTATAAAATTTAAGGCGCAACTAAGTAATCTGGCTAAGAAACATTATAATGGGATTTATGAGCCGTATTACTATCCTGGGGCCTGGAACAAGCTAATTCATGATTGATAATGTGACAGAAGTATCGTTTAGCTTAGACCTCTGATAAGACGGTTTTCAAAATATTTCCGTTCGGGATTTTTTCATCGAGAAAAGGACCCGCCTTCTTCGCTCTGACGATCGTTTCCAGGTCATTTACCAGATCCACAGGAAATTTTCATTTTTAGAAATGGAGACCTCATGGTTTTGATTTTGTTGTGACACAAATGAGATCCTTACAAATCGTAAGAAGTTGTCCCTAAGCTTTTTATTTTTGTTAAAAAGAGACAGATCGCGGTGTTTTCGAGGGAAACAACATCCCTACCACTTTGAGAAGTGTTCTAAAATACCTCTATTTCAAACGGCATATAAAATGAAATACTTGAATATTTTTATAAATTATAAAATAGTGATTATTAAAGACATTGAAAAAACTGACATGAGACGTTTTGGTGTCCTAACATAATTAAACGTTCCCCTATGAGAATAACCCTCTAACTATCACGTATTTCAAAATGGACTTCTGCAAAACCACTTCAGTGGTCATGTTTAAATAGTTTCCAAAAATGATTCTTATTCGAAAAATGTTGTGTACGCGCACGCATCCTCCACCAAAGCAGCAAATGAGTGTCCACACTCACAAGTCTTAAAAGGTAAGGATCTCTTTTACAAGAATGTTTTTGCTGAAAGCAAACTCTCCGTACATTTTTTTTGCAATGGGATTGTTGAACTTTGGAATTTAAAGGCAATGTTGCACGAGACGATTTGCATCGACGCTTGATTACAGGGTAACATTATTGGAACAAAGTTGGAACGATGTTGGAACAATGCTGTAAGAATTCGAAATAGACTGTCGCAACAATGTTGGAAAGATGTGTTGCGCTGGAAAAACTGAATGAGAATTGCTCCTCCATCCTATTTTCCCAGTATGAAATATTCAAGAGGTTTTTCACCAAATATTTCATTAAACGATGAATAAAAGAAATTCATGTATCTATCATTTCATCTTCATCTTTCCCGGGTATATTAAAAAAAAAAAAGAACAAATTTAATGACCAGCTCCCAGTTGGGCTGATAGCTGGCTCAATTGGTTAGTGCGCTGAATCACTATCGCAGACAGTCAGGGTTCGAATCCCGTGAAGCCCACCTTTTTTGGGCTTTCTTTTCGGACTGCATAAAGTCGCGAATTTAACTGTGATGAACTTCCCGGCACTTAAATATTTCATTGTTAGGCGAAGTCTTTTCTTATCAAAGGCTTCCCTTGTAACCAAGGTCTCAGTTATTCATTTTTCCCACCTCAGGAAAAACATTTTTCCCTCCTTATCAAATATATCCTTGTAAAAAGTTGTTATATGCCTGCAAAAAGTCGTAATTTTTTGTCAATGGTTTGTCTATTTTTTTCTTAAGACGGACAACTTTGTTCCTCGAGGGATGTCCGTCTTAAAGTGAGTCAAATAAACTTGGAGTAAAGAAAGGCAGGGACCAACTCAAGGTGTCCCGGCCAAGAGAGAGTCGACTGTATTTCTTTTCTTTATGTTATCAAGAGATTTGTGATCTATTGAGAATTACTTAATTTGCTACACTCATCTTCAGAATCGGTTTGAAATATGAAATATGTAACAAAGGCGGGATGAATCGAACACAGGGTAAACTGAATTCGTGTAGATTCTAAATGATTGTTCCGCAGCAGACATTCTGTTTATTGCAAATCATTTTAAACACTCTTGTGAAAATACTTGCTACTTCATTTTAATGTGCACAATTTCTGTTGATATTGAAGCAAGGAGGTATTTTCTATATTCAGATTTCATTAGATTGTGGATTAACTAGTTTCTTTGAAACTAATGGCAGATAGTTCTTCTGAAAAGAGGTCTGAGATGAAAGAAAATTTATGTTTTGTAATTGCTGCCTCTTAACTTACCGAAATAGAAGAACAGATTCTCCTGAAGCTATACACAGTTCTTTTAGTACTTGGCTAGTAGTGTAGGCAAAACAGTTCGTTCACAGAAATAAGCTCATGCACCTATGGCACAAAGTATCGTGTCTTTCCTTCTCCTGAATGCGAGTTATAAAATATAAAGCGCCGTTGAATATTAACTTTACATTCATTAACCACCGCTTAAAAAGCGTCAAGCGCTTTTAAGACAAAATTTTCGGTGATTTTTCATAAAACAATTACGGCATATTTGTCTTATTTGACACATTAAGATAAAACTATGGTGACATCTAAAAAACATCTTATTGATCATTCTCCCAGCGAGCTATATACTAACTGACATTTGAAAAGGCAAAAACTGAAAAAAAAATATCAACTATATTTTTATGAATAGTTCTCAATCCTATTGTGTAAACGCAGAGCTAATTAATTGTTTTCGAAATAGTGGGAGGCAAAAGGAAGAAAACGTTCTTCTTCTTCTTTTTTTAAACTGCCTGTTTCATCCGTTTAATTGAAATTAGCCAGAAATACATTATTGCTTCGGCAAAAGTGAATGGGCCGAATTTCCAATTCTTCCCTGATATCTACTTAAAACGGTTTCTAGCAATGTGAAAATACAATACACAGGAAAAATTTACTCAAACGCAACAACATAAAGCCTCAGGGTTAGATCGTAAATTAGAATTTGAAGTGTAGATGATATTTTCCGACTTTGTCCAACACCACACTATAAAAATACTTACCATCCGGTGATTTTGGGCTGTGTTTAGAATATACAGGTTAAGTGGTTTTCTGTCAAGTTAATAAAACGAAGTTTGACTTCTTTTCGAATCGTCGCAGCTGGATGTCTGTAAGATACCGCCTGCTAACTCGACCAATCGTCCGGCCGATAAAAACTTTGGCCCCGAAGCAATATTCAAAACAGGAGTTCGCTACCGAAATGAAGAACAGTAGGCGGATTTTAGGCTCTGAATCGAATTCGTGACTATCGCGGGGCCCATAATACACCCTGTTTACCTACCCCCCCACCCCAAACAGATGTTTCTTTGTTTTCGCTTTCTCTTGGGCCTAATGTAATACCCAAAGGAAACTGAAGACGAATCTTATGCATTTTTTTGGGGGGGGGGGGAGGGTAAACAAAGTTTATTATGGGCAATGTTAAAGTGTTGAGACCAACAAAATTAGGAACCTTTTCAGCTGTTAGGACTTTCGAGAGACTTTTTTGCTTGGCCTAGAGGTCAATCTGTTGAGGTGTTACAATGTAAAGATTTACCTTTTAATCACTATAAATCAAGAACAATAGATCTCTTCAGCTTGTACGGTTTGAATGTCTAATAAAAGTCATGTGATAATATCAAGAGTGCTTTTTCTTTTATGAAATGCATATGTGTTTACGAATAATTTAAGAAAAGACAAAACGCGAATTCCCTGAAAAAATTTGAACGGACACCTCGATCATACGAAACCATTCATTATTTTCGGTCTGTTCACACGGAACTGACGAACCAGGTTGAATTTCTGCCCATGCGCAGATCACTACTTTAGCAAATTCACAATGGTGTCTCCCAATCTCGTCCCCAGGGTCCTCTCGTTTTCCAATATGGCGTCGCCATATTGAAAACGACTAAACCCTGCGGACGAGGTTGGGTGTCTCCCAGCTAAGTAACCACGCATTCATGCAGCCACCCTTTTAATGTACAACAATGTGGACGGTTATGGTGTTTTACGCCGCGCCGGTCAAACCGAACAAGTTTGAACAAGTTTTTTAACTTGTCTAAGTCTTTCGGCGCCCGTCTCAGGCATTTAAAGCAAATAAAAAGTTCATATTTTATTTACATTGCTGTGAGGGACAGGTCGCAGTTCCAACTGAATTGGCTGCTCCGCTAGAGCTGAAGAAAGTTCATATTTCATTTATATTGTTATGTGGGAAAGGCCGCATTTCTGTTTGGTTGCTCTACCGCCGTGAATTCCAATTCGTTCAGTGTCTTTAGCTTAGAAGTTAAATTGTCCAAGTCTTTTGGCGCGCGTCTCAGGCATTTAAAGCAAATAAAAAGTTCATATTTTATTTACATTGCTCTGAGAGAGAGGTCGCAGTTCTGACTGAACTGGCTGCTACGCATCCATGAATTCTAAATTCGTTCAGCATTTTTAGCTTATTTACACTTTTCAAAGTTCAAAGTGTTTTCAATTTGATGCCCGTCACTAGAGCTGAAGAAAATAGAATGTTCATATTCCATTTATATTGTTATGTGGGAAAGGCCGCATTTCTGTTTGTTTGCTCTGCCACTGTGAATTCCAATTCGTTCAGTGTCTTCAGCTTAGAAGTTAAATTGTCCAAGTCTTTTGGCGCCCGTCCCAGGTACTGAAGAACCCGGATGTACGTTTCAACCATCCATGCTCTAAAGCTCATGATTCTATGATAAAAAAATAGTAAGAATTATATAAGAATTCTTCGGCTATTGTTTGAAAAATCTCCTCAATGTTAAGAACACTACTTTAGCGGCGATTTACCTGTCAGCGTAGAATTGAAATCAGCAAAAGTATTTGCTTAAGATATGAGAGTTAATAATGGTAACAGGACTGAGTGGAGTCCAGTTCGGTCTGTGATCATACGAGTGATCAACCGAGTGAACAACCC